CTAATAAATGAGATTCATATTGAAATAATTTTTTCTTATAGAATAAGTAATTATTGAGTTAGAGAAAAATCAGAGTACATATAAAAGGAAGAAAATAAGGCAAGACAATTGAAAAAAAAAAAAAGAGAGGAGAAAGAATGGCAAATAATAATGCTTTTTATTCTTTTATTTCTCTATATCTTCTTCATACAATGCAAGCATATATATATATAGGTTAAAGAAAAATAGGAGTTACATATTTTAATAGATAAATTTAAGTGAAACATTGAATAAAACTTACTAGTGGTTCTATAAATATAATATTTCCATGAATGTAATTTAATAGAACTCTAAATAAAATTAAGGGAATATGGAAGTGCAAGGTGCAAGGTAGAAGGTGAAACATCTATTCATTTCTATTAATATATTTTTTTTCTTTTGTAAACCCAACAAATGAATAATTTGTTTTTTTTCTTTTGTAAACCCAACTTTGTAAATTATTTAAAATATAATTTGGTGTAGTAAATATGGGTGTTCGCAGTGTGGTTTGGTTCGGATTTTAACATGTTTTTAATTCAATCCAATTTAATCTGTTAGTAAAATTTTTAAACCAATTCAATCCATTATAATATGATAATCAAACCAATCTAATTGAAATCGGATCGGTGTGGTTCGGTCGGATTGATCGATTTTTAACACTATTAAATATATGAGATAATATAAATAGTTTTAATATTAAGTAAAAAATATAAATATAAAATACGTTAATATCCAAATAAATAGAAACATAATTTAAAAAAAGTATAAATTATAAATAAATTCTTATACTCTTTTACAATTGTAAAAATTGAAAAGATTTAGAAATTATAAACAAATTCTTATACTCTTTTACAATTGTAAAAATTGAAAAGATTTAGAAATTATAAACAAATTCTTAAATCTTTATCTTGATCTCCAAGAATACCCAAAAGAGGGTTGCCACCAGCTTCCTAAGCTCTCTTAATTCTAAATTTGGATGGGTATTTATAAGATTTTAAAAACCCTAATTGGAATAGAAGTAGGATTTGAAACAGAAAATGTTGAACATATAGTGCTGACACCTTGAATTACGTGTCGACACAAAAGAGAAAACAGAAAGTTTGATTCTGAACTATTAACCCATGGTGTTGACACCCATGTTATGTGTTTAAGAATAAACCCTGCAAAATGAAGACGACAACCTAGATGACAACCCAGCAAAATAAAGACGACAACCTTGGCAAGTGCACGCCACTCAAGAAGGTAGGGTTTTAAGAATAAAATTGCAACTCACTTATAAAGGTAGAATTGTTGGAGAATTTGAAATTTAGAATTAAAATTTATATATATAAGTAAAATCACAAATCAAACCAATTATATCGATTTTAAATTTTTATAATCCAAACTAACCTAATTTTATATCAGTTTGATTTAGTTTTTAATCGGATTGGATCAGTTTAGGTCGGACCAATCAGATTGGATCGGATATGAACACCTTTAGTAATGAACATGTCTCATCTCAAAATAACATAATATAATATTTTAAGTGTTTCAATTAATAAGAGTTTAAAACTTGAAATTAAAAACATTACATTTAAATTTTGATATGGATGAAAAGCAATTTAGGAGAAAAGAGTTCTAGTTTCTATTGTAACCATTATCACCACATGTGCCAACAAAAAGAAACAAAAAATTCATTCTGCATCATTAAAAAAAAGAAAAGAAAAGTGCAAATTGTAAGTCTCACAGTTTGTTGTCCTTGCATCACACAATATAAGACAACTTTTTCTTACCGTTGAATTTGTGGTACCACAAATTCATTCTAGTCCGTGGATCTTCTAAGTTGAGAAAAGGATTCAACATTGGTGATTTGGTGTGTAGGCCCAGGTTATAATTTAACATAACTTTCACTGATCTATTAACAAATCCTCGGCCTTATTTTCAGCAGCTAGTGCTTTGAAAAGAAAAGAAGTGTTAAAAACATTGACACGTTATTCATCATATTGGATTTCTGAAAAGCTACAGCATATAATATCACACAATATATATCACAAATCATACAAAGTGTCGACGAACTGTCAATAACAGAGCTTTTCTTCGGTTTTTTTGCATCAATAGTTAACTTTGCTCAGGAAATTCAATATAGAAGGAAGGAAACTCAATCTGGGAACCACATTTTCCTCCACTTGGAAACACAGGGCAATCGATGAGGTTGGAGCCAGAAGTGTCCACACACAGATACACCTGGTAAAGCTGACTGTTCCCCGACTCATCGGTGTTGCACTCAATCCAGGGAGTATACCCTACTGCTTTGTTAATGGCATCTTTGATGCTGGACGAACTATAAAACCCTCCATTTGGGTTAATTCCTGCGCTTTCAAGAGCTTGTAGGAGGCTAGTCTGCTGCTTCAGGTTGAGTGTTGTGTCAAAATAATCATGTTGGTCCAGGACTGACTCCGAACAGGTCCCGTGTTTCTCCCATTCATGCGACCAAAAACTCGTTCCATCCCCGCTGGGGCAGGCCAGAGTAGGCCAGTTCTTCTGCATTCTGCTCTTTAGGTCTGAAATCTGCATTATGACACAAACAATTGGAAATTAATCAGCAATTGAAAGGTCTAAACATTTTTCTCATAATTACAATTCATACATATCAATCAATCAACGTATTAGAATGACACAATTAAAGAAAGACGGCATTATCAGTAACCTGAGATGGATTAAAAGGGTTGTTGGGATCACAATTTTGAGGGTAAGTTCCATCATTGTAATTAGGCCAAAGGCCATGAATACCAAAATCCGCAACAGGTTTTCCAGTGGTGGGATAGCAGCAACTTTGCTTTGTGTCACAATATGAGCCAGGCCACTGCGCATCCAAGGACCAAAATGAGATCCAAGAAGAGAGGTGAAAGAAATTAGAAAAAAACGAAGAAAACTCACTTGTTGAACAAAGTAGAAGAAATCAAAATTCTGTGACACACAAAGAACTGCCAGGTATTGTAGCACCCATAACTTGATCAAAATGGGACACTTGGGACTCATTTTGTCTCCCAACTCAATGATTCAATCTCTGAGGTTTGAGAAGGTTAGGGCTGAAATTATGATGATATGATGTCTGCATTTATAGGCAAAAGATGAAGATGTATAAAGAGAATCCGAAAATCATATGCTTACAGATCTTGTAAGTAAAATACGTCGGTTCTTAGTGTGTAACGTTTCTCCTCATTATTGCTCCATTTCGGCTCCCCTTCATCATATCTAGATTCTTTTTTTTTTTTCAACTCATTATTAATTGAGTGGATGAGGAGAACTAGGCAATAATTTAGCCTTCCAAACGTAATGATAAACGGGAAAGAGTGTGAAAGGTTTCCAGAATTAACTTACAACTGAGTAAATCCAACATAGGAACCCAAATGTTCTTATTTCGTGGGGCATTCAGATTGGGCTGGCATGAACAGCAAGGCACCTCAAGTTTGAGGTGGGAATTGTTTGGTGATTAATCAGCGTGCCGAGCAATCTGACTATTGACAGCTATGGACCTTTGGTGCTAAAAGGAAATCATTTAACGAGAATGTTTATGTACAATTTTTTTTCACTCTACCTAATATTTCTTTAATTATTGATATTTTTTTATTTTATTTAAAATTGTAATACTATATATTTATTTAATAATATTAAAAATTATAAAGAAAAATTATAAAAATAGACTCCATGCATATTCATTCCCGGATGTGAAACGTTTGGGCTTAGTGTATTTTTTTTATTGAGAAAATCGCAATTGACTCACGAGTGGTTTAGGAACATTAAAATATGGACATGTCTTTGAAGTTTGTGCTAAGGGCATCTTGCATTAAAGCATCGTGAAATGTTCTAAATGCCTTGGAGGGGAAATTTATGATACTTCGAACTTGAGGGTCAAGAGCAAGACGCTTATTTTGCCAACTTTAAACATGTATGTCATGTGCATATTTTGAAACATTAAAGGGTCATTTGCATCCTCGAAAACAATAGTTAAATGCAATTTCCTTTCTATTTTTTATTTATTTTCTATTTGTCTGAAGTGTTGGAAATGCGGTTGCTTTCACAATGATCCAATCTTACCATCTACTTCTTGCTTTGTCTCGGTTGATTGCAGAGGTTTTGACTTTTGTTGTGAGTAGGTAGTTGATCATAATAATGATTGGAGCAATGATAGGAGGATAAAAATATGTGATAAAAATTTAAAATTAATAATGTGATAAATGATACGTCATTAAATTTATTAATATATATAATATTATAAGATAAAAAAATAAAAAAAATTAATTATTAAATAATATAAGATTCATTTTTTAAATAATGTAATTTATACCACATCATTATTTTCATATTTTGATCTCAAATTTTCATCATATTTATCATTATTCTAACAATTGATGATGCAAATAAAGCATGTCCAGAAGTTTTTGGAAAAAAAAAATGTTGTTACATCTTAGAATATTAGTTGATATTGTAATTTTATAATTATAAGAAATTATTATACAAGTAATTATTTTTATTTGAGAGGTTACGTTAGATATTTATATCTACATATTCATTTATGCTATATTATCATTTTAAATTTATAATTTTACATTGCAATGTAATTTTTTTTTTTTTTTTTAAGATTTAGACAAGACCATCATAATGTCACTTAATCACTTTTCATATATTCAATATTAATGCATTTAAAAAAATTAATTTTTATTAAATGTTAAACTTAAATTTAAAAATTGAATTTAACTCATAAAATAACATTTACTTACTATTCAAGTTTCATTGTAACCATATGCTTTGTATTTAGGAAATAAATCTTCTTCATCATCACTGCGATTCATATCTTGCAGTTGACTATAACTGAAAATTCTTGCATTAATCGTCTGTACTCTGTATCATATCTAGGATTGTATAGACTTTCCTTATGTATTATATTTAGGACACAATTATTGTATCCATACATATGCTGTACATTTGAATAAAGCACTGCAATTTCTATTCTTTTATTTATGATGTGTTACTTTGAGGAGGATTTTATTATTTATATTAACTTTTTTGGCAGATCGTTACTTTTTTAGTAATCAATAACATGAAAATAAGCTACTGCTATATACGTGCAGATGGATGAGTTAGTAGGGATTCTTTGAACTTAATTAAACGTTTTGATTTTAAATTTTAAAAATGCAGCTTTGTTAAAATTCATAAAGGAGAGTTTTGTCGTCCGTTGACTCCTGTTTGACTTGAATCCGATTAGTAGGTGATATAATGAACTTTTGGATATTTGATAGTCCAAACAAAAAAATAAAAAAAATAAGCTAGTGCTCTTTTGTTTCTTCTTCCATCCTGTTCCATCCCCAAATTATTTGAGAGATATAATCAAATTTCCCATCTGATGCCGAAAAAAAAAAAAATTCCATTCTTCAAGTTGCAACAAAATATACTAACACAACCTAAAAAGATAAATTAGATATTTTGGTTCGATTTAGTTGTCCCGTTTGAATTCATTTTTAAAATAATCAAGAATTATCATTACATTTTTATTGTTACTTACAATTAAATTATAAAATCTTACTTTTATCTCTTTTGAGATAAAGTTAAAATTGAAGTATTAATAAGTATTTAATATCTTATTATTCTATACCAAAATAACTATTGTTCTTTTTTTACTTTAAACTGATCCAAAATTAATTTTTGTTTTCTTATTTTTTATGATAAATAAATATTTTTTTTACTTTGATCATATTATTATTTATTTATTTTAATTAATTATCTAATCACAAAAATCTCATCTTTTATTTCTTTTTTAACTATATTATAGATAAATATAAAATTATGTCAAGTACATAGTCTAAGTTACAACCCAAAGAAACAATGCAAAACTGAAGAAAAACAAACAAAAGGGCCATTAAACCAGAAGCTAAATATATGCTGACGAAGGAGAACTTCAGAGCTCAACAGCTATGAGCAGTGTTTTCAAAATTGGACTGGATCAGTTGGTTTAATTGGTAGAACCGCCACCCAATTGTTAAAACGGGATGGGTGGATACCCAGCCTCGTTTAGACGATCGAACCATCCAGACCTAGAAAAATTGCCTTACTTCTTCCGCCGAACAGGCTTGGTAAATTCACTAGGCGAATTGCTCCACGCTAGACGCTACAACTTCTTTTCCTTTTTTTTTTTTTTTTCTTTTTCTTTTCCACAGTCCGTTCAAAACTTTTGAGAAAATTTATTTAAATTTGCCACCTCCAAGGTTTGAACATGGCTT